GTTTTATAAAATAACTTTAATAATAAAATCGAGTCTTAGGGCCGAGATAATAAAAAAAAATAGGATATCCCTATAAAAATATACCGTATCTATCCGGATCTAGTTAAAAGTATTTAGTAAAATAATATAGGGTATTATTTAATAGTAAATAGGAATAAATAATAACTTATTAAGGGCATAGAAGCGGGCGATATATAATAAAAACGATATAATAAGGTTAATTTTATATAGCTTTATAGTATTAAAAAAAGAGCTCGTATAGTATATAAAAAGTAAACGATAATAAATCTATATAACGGAGTTTAAAAATAAATATTTTTAGAGTAGGATAGGTATAGCATAGCTATATAGAGCCTTAGAACTAAATATAAAATAATAAAGTATATAGGGGTCCTTAAATACGAGATTTATTATTATAAAAACTAGTTCGTTAGGGAAAGAAAAATAGTAACGAGAGTATAAGCCGAGGTTAGATAAGGACTATATTATATAAAACTATAAACTAATAGTAAATAAAAAAAAAGGGAAGATTAAATAATAAAAAAGTTTTATAATATAAGTTATTAAGTATTAATAAATAAGAGGGTAAATAGGGTATTTATAAACTAGCTAAGAATAAACGAGTATTATATAATAAACGTAAATAAAAAGTATTAAGGGGTAAAATATATTTATAATAAGGTACGTTAAATATCTTTCTAACTAGGAAGATATTTAATAAGGTATCGTTACGATAAGTACATAATATTAAGAAGTAAACGAGTAAAGTTAAAAAGATATAAAAAGTAATAATAAGGATATAATAAGGTATTATAATACTAAAAAGAAAAGGTATACTAAGTAGAACTATAATCATAAAGCGGTTTATAAATAAGTAATATAAATAGGATATATTAGTTAATAATATAAAAAAAAATAAGCTCTTAAAACGATATTAAGTAAAAATAATTTTTAATAAGGGTAAACGTTATTAATAGAATATAAGGGTATTATAAACAAATATTTAGGATTAAGGATAGTACTCTTAATTTAAGTTAATTTACTATTATTAAATAATATAAGAGAGAAGGAAGGATGAGTAATACTTTATATTATAAGAATTTCTTAATTATAAAATAATAATAGCTATGTTTTAAAGAATTAAGAAACTTAAAGGTATATTACGTAATTAACTAAAATAGTAAATAAATTATTATATAAGGGCTATATAAAGAAGACTTTAAAATACGTATTATATTAATAATATATAATAACTTAAATAATAATAGTAAATAAAACTTTATTAGAGGAGGGAAAATAGTTAGATTTTTATTAAGCTAGAAAAGGAGGGCTATTAGGACGTCTATAATAATATTTATCCTAACTTAGGCCTTTAAAAAGCTAAAAAAGGGTAGTAATAAGTTAGGATAAAAAAGAGGGGGGGATAACGAAGTTAAATAAAGCCGGATTTTTTTATTAAAAGGGATTTAAAAAAGGGGAATAGTATAAAGTATTATTTAAATAGTTTTTAAGTTAAATATCGGGGGGTTATAAACGAGGAGATAAATTAAAAAAAGATTTAGGTAAATAAGATAAAAGAGTACTAAACGTTAGTAAAAGTAAATTAAGAAAATAATAAAAGAGGGATTTATTATTAACGACTTAAATACTTTTAATAGAGCTATAATTATTCGCTTAGTATAAGTAAAAGGATAAATACTTAGTAATTAAAAGTTTAATAAACTAAGTTTAGAAATAGTAATTAGTATTTAGGGTAGAGGGCTAAGTAATAAAAATTATAAAAAGTAGAAATAAAGTAAAAAAAGGAATCGATAGGGATAAGATTAAAAAATAACGTAGTTTAGGAACGATATAGTTATAATATAAGCTAAGAATAAAAAATATATTTAAAATATAGAGAGTGGGAAAAGGGGATTAGGATAATAAAGATTTAATAAGAGAGTTTTATAAGCTTATAGCCTCGGGTTTATTATAAATAATTATATCCGGGCTTATAAGTATTAAAAAACTAAATAGTAAATACTTATTAAAACGATATTAAAAAAATTCGGTCTTATTTAATAAGAATTTAGGGTTAGGGCGAGGTAATAATAAAAATAACCGAGAATAATACTTTAAATTAAAATATAAGCCCGCGTCCTAAAATACGGTTAAGTATAAGGTATTATAATTTTAAATTAGTAAATATAGCGAACTTAAAAAGAATTTTTTTAAGTACGAATAAAAAAGTATAAACTTTAAAATAAATACCTTAAGTTATAAGTTATTAAGTAGTGATATTATAAATACTATAGTTAGGTTATCGTAATTAGTAATAGGGATAATATTATTTAATTTTAATAATTCTAAGTAAGATTTAATAATATATTAAAGTTAGGATAAAGTTAGAAAAGAGATAGAGGATAGTAATAAGCTTTTTAAAAACGGAAACTAGAGAATAATAGCTAATAAAAGGTCTAAGGGGGATATTAAATCTAAAAAAAAAAAACGGAATATAAGTAGTATTAGGGGTAATAAAAAACTAAAAGCGTACTTAAAATAGTCATTTTATTAAAACTAGGCCGCGGTAAAAAGAGAAGGGGACTAAGTATTTAATAATAACTACTATAACGAGCTTATTTAAATAAAATTATAATAAGATTTATAAACTTCTATATAATTAACTATATCTAGGTTATATAGTATATTAATAATAAATAATAAAAAATTTTAAACTTATAGCAAAACTAAATAAAAATAAGTAAAAATATATTTATTAAACCGTTTATAAGAGTAATATTTTATATACTTAAAAAAGGACGGAAGTACTAGAATCTAGGACGCTTAGGTATATAATTATTAGTATTTACGTTTTAAAATACGAGGGGGTTCGGAGTTAGATAATAAAGTAGTTATAAATATAGCAGGATAAGACGAAGTAAAGTTAATAAGCTTAAAGTAATTAGGTAAAAGATTTTACTTCTTTATTAAAAATAGAAAAAGAGATTAACGATTTACTTTAATAAGGAATTACTATATTAAAGCGATCTTAGAAATATACTTCTTATAGTTCTCTCTAACTTCGGTTCTTTTTACCTCTTTAATAATAATAATAAGATCCGATTTTTTTATTAAATATACCTCGTTAAACTTAGTAATCTTCTATAGTTATTAATCGGATTACTAAGTATAGTTAAGCTAAACGTCCCTAATAAAAATAACTTAGTAATATATTAAGGTATTATTTTAATTAAAGCTTAAGGTTAGTTAATAGGAGGATTACGTAGTACTAAGAGAATTAGTAAAATTTATTAAGTAATACTAATACTAGAGGTATAAATAAAATAAATATTATAATTATAAAAATATTTATTAACGTAGTTTTAATAAAGGGAATTAATTATTTATTTTTTTATTTATAATATAAAAAGTAGCTAATAAAAATAAAAGAAAGAAGGTATAAAAAGTAAGACTTTTTAAATAAATATAATAAAAAAGTAATAGTTATTAAGGAAATATTAAATACTATAGAAATAGTATAAAAAGTTATAGAAGTCGGAGTATATAAAATATAATAAAATAGAGAGTAAAATAAATAAAGAGGACTTTAAATAAAAGCTTAGGGATACGTTAAGTATTTATATAGGAGTTAGGTTTTAGGAAATTTATTAAAAGAGTACTAACTAACCGATCTTTATATAGGCAACTAGTTTTATATAAGTAACTAGTTTTTTTATAAAAGAGTAGTTTTTATATAGAAAAGTAGTTTTTATATAAAAGACTAGTTTTTATATAAGTAACTAGTTTTATATAGGTAACTAGTTTTTATATAGGAGACTAGTTTTTATATAAGAGAGTAGTTTTTATATAAGAAACTAATTTTATATAGGTAACTAGTTTTTATATAGGAAACTAGTTTTTATATAGGAAACTAGTTTTTATATAAGAAAGTAGTTTTTATATAAATAACTAGTTTTATATAAATAACTAGTTTTTATATAGGAGACTAGTTTTTATATAAGAGACTAGTTTTTATATAAAAAAGTAGTTTTTATATAGGAGATTAATTTTATATAGGTAACTAGTTTTATATAAGTAACTAGTTTTTATATAAGAGACTAGCTTTTATATAAGAGAGTAGTTTTTATATAAGAGAGTAGTTTTTATATAAGAGAGTAGTTTTTATATAAGAGAGTAGTTTTTATATAGGAGATTAGTTTTATATAGGTAACTAGTTTTTATATAAGCGATTAGTTTTATATAAGTAACTAGTTTTATATAGGTAACTAGTTTTTATATAGGAGAGTAGTTTTTATATAAAAGAGTAGTTTTTATATAAGCGATTAGTTTTTATATTTAAAGGGTATATATTAAGTACTTAAAAAATATACTAATTAAGAATAATTAAGGGAGCGATATAAAATATATTTATACTAAGTAAAAAAAAAAAATCTAAAGAAATAGAACTACTTAGTAATAAGTCTTTTAATAAAATAAAAAAAATATATAATATTTAAACGAGAAATGATTAAATGCACTCGATAAGAATATATTAATAAGAATAATACTAAGGGAGAGTAATAGAAAATATACTAAACTTTTTTTAAAAAGATAGTATTAAAGTTACGAAAAGCGGTTTTTATAGTAAAAAAGTAGTTAAAGTATAATATACCGATTTTAGAAAATAGAAGTTACTTAATTTGAATTTATAAGGAGCGTTAACTAGTTTTTTTATATAACGACTAGTTTTTTAGTATTATATCTTTTTTTAAGTAAAAAAGGTCTATATAGCCTTAACGTATAATTAATAAAAACCCGCGCTTCGACTAGAACTAGTTAAAATCCTAAGAATCGTATACGCTAGGTATTATACGAGGTATAGTAAGTCCGGTAGCTGGATATAGTCTAAGACTCTCCTTGATTATAGCCTAAAGATATGGCAATGCCTAAGCTTCTCTAAAAGTAATTAGATTCGAAATTAAACCCTTCGCATTAGCATTATCTAATTCTTCCCGTAGCTTTTATAATGTTCTCGGATTTCTGTAGAGGTAGTATACGATGGCACTAAGGGAAATCGCCGTGGTGTCTGATCTAGTAGCAACATTAGTGTTTCCAGCAGTCTCAATCGTTGCCTCATTAATGGTCTCCGGTCGTTCTGCTTGAATCTGGAGTAGTTTGGAAATAAAGTCCTGAGGTCTATCTTTAGGCTTCTCTTCCACCCGGCTGGCTGCGACCTGTTCTGTTGCAAATTTGACTATATATGCGTTTCCCCGTGGCTCTTTACCAGACCCGAGGTACTTGGAGATGCGGAATAGAGAGGGATACACGCGTGGATAAATACCGATTATAGTGCTGATTGCCAGGGCTTCGTCCAAAGCCTCAAGGACTCCCTGAGGGTCGTTCCCGGCGTCGAGACAACCAAATCGCTTGGAGAACTACACCTTCGTTAGTACAGCCCTACGACACTGTGGTGAAAATGCCTCACCGTGACTTTGCCAATGACATCGAGAGCATAACACTGGAACCAATGCCCCAGATCAATCACACGGCCCTCATCAGAAAATTCAGACAAGCGTTGAGCAAAAATATCAGTGCACTCATCCACGTAGGGCTCGTACGAGACCATGTTGGACATGGAATATACGCTGGCGACTTGTCGGCGCATGTCGGAGTGTACTCTCGGATTCAACTCGTTGAAAAGGTTGTTCAGGGCAGGATTACCCCATGGGACGTACCATTCATTCTAGACAGGTTCCAGATTAGCCCTGTTGGAAGATTCTATTGCCATGGTACAAAGAATTCACCTTGGTAAAATGGCTGCCGTGACCGTAGATAGTTCTGGCTGCGTCGAGACTGTCGATGCTGTATTGTCTAGGGGCTATCCGGACAATACGACCTGTCTAGGCGTTGTACTAATCAGCGGTTCGTTCCCAGTGGCACTGATCCAGTGTCTAGAAACTATATTTATTGTGCAGATCTCTGTCCGTCTTCTCATAATCGGCGCGGCAGTATTGGCGGAACAGCCATAGCCGAGTGAATCTCGCAAGGAAGGGACCCGGAATGTGTCTCAGAGGATCTCGGACGGCAGAGACAATCTGGCAAAGAAAGATGGTGAACACCACAGAAGGAATCGCCCACCATAACGGCAGAATCATGGTGTAAGTTTTGGTTCGGATGTAATTACAATAATGTATGAGCTTCCAGACGAAAGATAGCGGCTGGCAGAAGCTTTTATATCAGCCATCCAAAACTCGAGGCCATTACAGCCGGAAAGATTTGTGTGATGATCTGGGGAGAGATTATGGGCAGATCTCGGCGTCGGCACTCACCCCCACCCATTCCGACGGGATGCCGCAAGCGCGGTGCACTGCGTCCCCAGACCCACAACTCTCCTGAAGCCGTACTTGCATAACTCGTTGACAAACAGGCTGAGAGTCATTGGAGCCCTGATTGGTCTGAGGGATCTATCTCCTGTCCGATGACTGGATCGTATGCATGAAACAAGTCGCGCGGCGGGCGGATCGAAGTCGGAGTCCGTCTCTTCTTAGCCGGCCGTCAATAACAATCGAGCTTTGCGAAGCTAACCTCCACCACACCGAGTGGAAAGTGGATGATTGCTCGCGATAACCGGGACTAGGTGGGTTTTATAATTGACTGGTCGCTTCGCGCAGTTGTAAAGACGTTGGAAACTGCTTGTTTCTTCTTCGTCTCCACATAATCCCCCGCAAGCATTGACAACACTAAGGGTGCGCGCGGCCCGCGCCGCAGGTGTTATAATGAGGCGTTCAAGGGGAAGGAGCATCTCAACCGCCAAGTACGACATCATTTAGGATCGAAACCGTTCCAAGACACTGTTGGGCTCAAAGCTTTCTCTCTAAAGCATGGCGGGCCTCAATTTGATCATGGATACAGCAAATTTCAGTCTCTCAGGGATCTCAGAGACGTCCCTAATCGACATCTGATGGCTCATGAATCGAATGCATATCAAGCTATCGACCAGACATTCGCAGGCGAAATGTCCGGGGCTCAGAAATCGAGGTTCTAATAAAGCAACGCCCAATACCACTGAAGCCTGTTTGGGGCCATTGGCTTGTTAAGCCGGTACTTCGCTCCCTGTAGTGAAACCAAAGACCCGACCGTGCGAAGAGCTCCAAGCTACTTCGCGATGTCCTGCAAAAGGCTTATCTGACGAACGCGGTGATTAATCTATTGACGATAGTGGGTGTATCATGCCCAGGGATAGGTGAAGCGCACGAAGGTAAATGTACCGGAACAATGACATTGCACCTTGATTAGGCTATCGCGGTTAAGACTGGCTCGCTCCTGGTTCTATTAGTTGCGGGAGAGAGGGCATTGGAGTTGGGCACACCTTTGGATGCGCGCATTCGCTCGACACCGCGCGAGCAGAAACATCATTTTCCACTGGGGCCGGACTACATAACGTACTGCTTTTTGTTTGCTCACACATTCAAGTGGAAGTTCTACCTTGTCGTTGCAGGGGAGTTATGGGAGTGTAGCGGGTCTCAAAAGGTTGTCGTGTCGCCGGCTGTTGAGAGGGCGGCAGCTGCAGACTCACAGTCACTACTGCTATCCGCTGGTGCTGCGGAGGAGCTTCCGGCGTATGACGGAACGCGTGGACCAGTGCCGGCTTACGAGAATATCTTTAGTAATAGAGATAGTTCGACCTCAGGATACGAGGAGTCATAGATTATCAACTGCATCGGATTTGTATGAGCGATGGTGCAATGGCTGATGGTGCAATGGGATGATTTCCAAGTAAGGCCTAGGCTTTATCCTCAATATAAACATCTACTTTATACTTGTCTTTCGATAATTCTTAATAGCACAATACAAGTATAAGATATTAGTAAGTAACGAGGACTTGTGCTACTACATTTGTAGCTGTGGCAATCGCGTGGCTCAAAAAGAATAGTCATAAGGTCACTTTGCTCTGTCTTACTTCCTTTCTTCAAGTTCTTCCTAAAGTTTACCTTTCTTAGCCTCGTTCCCTCGTAGGTTCTTTTCAATCCCCGTTTATTTAGTTCGACTCGCTCTTCACCTCTAGTTCCTTTAACAACATATCGTACTTATACCGATTGAAAATGGCCTCCGCCTCTTTACCTACTGTGCCTAGTCTCGCCACCTCCAACGCCTTGTTGGCCCTTATCATCCCACCCCTTTCCGTCTCGACATCTTCCGATGATACTTCTCCCTGATCTCGTTATTGAATTGCTCCTTTTCACTTGTTTATAAGTAGTAAGGAGGCTCGGCGCCTTCTACTGTACTATAAATAGAGTTTATGGCAACCGCAAGATCCTCGGGAAGAGGACCAGCCTCAAGGGCATCGAGCGTTTCATGAAGCTGTTCCATCTTAGAAACACCAAAGATAACAGCATCGCTATGCTTTCCATCTAGGTTACTATGAAATGCTGTCCATCGCAATGCTGCAGCGTGTCCATTGATGCCGTGGTTTTCTGCAAGCTCAAGTATTGTAGCTACTGCAATGCGGACCGGGGGTTTCCGATAAAGGTAAGTGTAAACGTTGCCTAGGAAGTTCTGTGTTCTTTGAGTTAGATTAATGACTCAACTTAGAACACCAGCCTCTTGACCTACATCCCGTTTCCATCGTCCCGAAGAAGCAGTATGGCCTGAGAAAAGACCGCCAGCCGCGGGACTACACCAAAGTTAACTCGCATTCAGCTCTCGAATCACCAGGGTTACAGACGTACCTATACGCGTAGAAGGCCATATTATGCTTACGCAAAAGGGGAAACAACTCCTTCTCCGCTCCTCTCACAATGGCGTTATAATGTCCCTCATACACACCAGGCTTCCTATACCCATGTCGCTCGCAAATATCGAGTATTCGTTGCACCTCAGTAGCTGAATAGTTTGAAAGACCGTACCTTTTGAATTTTCCTTGTTTCAGAGCGGTGTCCATCGCTTTGATTGTTTCCTCAAAGGGAGTATGGCGGTCCGGAAAATGCAGAAACATGGTCTCGACATTGGGTGTTTGGAGATCCTCCAGCGATTGATCAATGCTAAGTCCGAGCTTTGTGGGTAGATGATCTCCCGGGTCTGCGCTGTGGACTTTTGTGTGGATTGTGAACCGAGAGGCGCCTTTAGCCCTGCCGAGACGTGACTCGGATGCACCTGGTACATTCGGAGAGTAATCGCGAGCTGTGTCGAGGTGGCTGTATCCACGGCCATAGAAGCCATCTAGAAGAGATTGGACATCTTGCTCGGCATCAAAGTGAGAGGTTTCGGGGTCGACAATGGAGTCTCCAACCTGGTGACGTATCAGCGGCATTCAGTTAGCAACATGAAGAGTGCCCACACTGTGTGTTCCGAGTATAATCGTGGGAGGCAATGTGAAAGTCATCATGGGAAGCGAACAATGCCTAAAGAAGTTCGAGGCCAGACAACTCAGCTTATAGTGAGCAGCACCAGTACTGGGGGATAAGCAGGAGTCTGATGGACCGTTTTATGCTTAGGTTCACGGCGAATTCTTGCGGTGTGCTTTCGGAGGCAATTTAGCCTCCGCTTGACCGAAAGTCCGACAGAATGACCAGGGCAAGGAGCTGTTGGATTCGGTCGATGCACGGTCATCTTGCTATGCAGATGATGACCATGCGACCACAAGTCCCCGTACGAGCTGATCGCCGATATAGTGATGCGACTCCACCACAATGGAATTGGAAGAACGCATGCACAGAGTTGAGTTTGAGAGGTAAAACTAAGTACTATACATATAATTTGGCCATGCAGGTTAGCAAGTGGCTGCGAAATATCCAAGTAAATCGTCTTGTCGTAGCCTCAAAATGATCGTTTTCTCAAACAAACCTGTTCAGGTTTTCGGGGCCCTGATCATCGCCCTTCTGGCCGCCGCCCTTTCCCTTCGCAGCACTAAGACCGAACAACAGCCTCCAGTCATCGGTAAGAACAACACTGTGTTGTTTGTTACCAATGTTGAGCATGGGCTCTCGAACGTTCACGTTGCGACAGTCTATTCTCTGTTAGAACGTCACCCAGAGATCATAGTACATTTTGCATCATGGCCCAAGATCGAGCCCAAGATCGCCAGGATGTCCGCCCACGCCCGCATAAAATCTCCGTCATCTCGTCCCGCCATCTTTCATCAATTGCCCGCTCCAAAGTCCTCCGACGCCTCTGGGTTCAACTTCACACCAAATTGGATACGCCCACCTGGGATCCAGGGACTAAAAGGACTTAATGATGACATGGCTATGTTCGTCTCACGGTGGACGGGAGAAGACCACCTCATGATCCACAACTATGTACAAAAACTCATTAGAGACATCGATCCCGCTGTCGTTGTACTCGATATGTTCCACCGGCCGGGGATGGACGCGACCCGAGGCGATAATCGCTTGCACGCCATCTTGTCGCCGAACGTTCTGGCCGACGTGTTCGGTGGCGCACAGCCCTGGCTCAGAGGTTTTTGGCAATTCCCGGCGTAAGCTAACTTTCCTCCTCCAAGTAGAGAATCGTACTGAAGAAAGCAGCCTTGGCTCCGGCCATGACTTCCCTGTTCCGTGGCGAGACATTCCCTCAAATATCTACCAGATGGGTAGTTTTGCATGGGCCATGCTATTTAATCCGGAGCTCGTCGAGAAGCGTAAGTTCCTAGCCAGCCACAATCTCGAGGACCCAATCGGCTTTTTCACCATTCACCAGCCTGGAAACGGCGTGTTCATCTCCCAAGACACAGCTGCTGCCTCCATTCCGCTCAGCTCAGTTCCAGCCAACGTCACCACAACGGGTCCTATTGTGATTTCGGTCGCCTCGGCCGCAGAACAAGACATTGATTTAACGTTATGGCTAAGGAGGGCTCCGACGGTGCTTATCAACCTTGGTAGTTTGTTTGAATACGATGCCGACAGAGCAAGCAGCATGGCCGGCGCATTAGAGGCTGTCCTGAGACGCACGAGTGTGCAGGTTCTGTGGAAGATGAACACTCGTCTCGATGATAAGGAATGGAGGCCCTTGGTGGAGGAGTTCATTGCGAACGATAGGCTCAGGGTACTGAAGTGGTTGACGGTGGATCCAGCTGCTCTTCTCGAGACGGGCGATATCATTGCTTCCGTCCACCATGGCGGGGCTAATTGCTATCACGAAGCTCTCGCGTGAGTGTTAACACTGTCTCGAGACATTCGTCATGGCCTATGCCATTGCGAACAATCTGGTATCTCTTGGCGGATGGGTGCTAATGCGAGGCATACTAGGACTGGCGTGCCGCATCTCATTCTGGCGACTTGTATAACTACGCCGCTAGGGTTGAGCAAGTCGGGATTGGAATATGGGGCAACAGAAAATCAGCCCCTGGCTTCTCTCTTGACGAGCTTAGTGAAGCCCTCTTGCGGCTCGTGGATGGAGGGCCCGAAAGCGTCGCCAAAAGAGACAATGCGAGGGCAATACAGCAGACGCTTCGCCGTCCGGGCAGAGATATCGCCGCAGACGAAATTGCCCGACTCGCTGCTAAAGGAATTTGACTAATCATGGGCTGGATAAATTTTGGTTTTAAGTCGTATGCATGTGGAAAGGTTCTTTATCTGGATCATCAACCACCAGAGTACTACTTTGTTCCTGCTCTGATTTTTTGAACGAGAGCTTGAGCCTACTAGTGGTCAACAGTGGAAGCCATAAAACTTAAAGCCTGCTTGATTATGTCATGATCCTGTTCAACTCTCGATCTTTCTGATATGCGGCGGCTTCCATCCTTTCGAGACATCAAAAGAGACTGGAATCCCGCAGTGATGTAACGAACCACTACTTCAGACGGAAGTGGATTTATGAATGGCAGGCATTGTCTTGTTTCGTGTTTGAAAACAAGTCCTAGTGTAGCTCCTTTCTATTTCCAAATTCAACGACTTTAATCTTGCTCTACCTTTGGGTTTACCACCACGAATGCTCATTAGTCAAATACTTTTGGGAACTTGTCCCGAACAAGATTCGCATCTTCGTCTTCCGAAGAATATTTCTCATGGGCTGACCTGACTAGATGCACGGATTGCTCACTTCTTGGTGTGATGCTGTATGGGAAGTCGACTGGACGACAAATCAAGCCACTCGTAGTAGCGATCTGGGGCGCAATTTTATTACCCGAGTCATCAACAGCCATGTTGATATCAAATGTCGCCAAGAAACGCGCAATGGTAATGAAAAGACTCTCATCCGCCAGAAATCGGCCGGGACAAATCCTCCGACCGTACCCAAAGGCTTCATCCGTGGGATCTGGCTCATTACGAGGTGCCGAATATCGGGCAGGGTCAAAGGAAGAGGGATCCAAATATGTATGAGGATCATGTAAGAACCACCATATCGACGGCAGCAAATACGTCCCTTTGGGAATTTCAAAGCCTCGGTAGCTGATGTCTTCATCGGTCCGATGGGCAACGCCTAATGGCGCCACGTGGAGCCATCGCAAAGCTTCCTTCACTACGCCATTGATATATGGCAAGCGATCTCGGTCTCCAAAGTCAGGCAACCTCTCTCTGCCGACAATACCATCAATTTCCGCCTGTGCTTTCTTCTGGACATCTGGGAATAGGATCATGGCTAGGATGAAGCTGTGAAGGGCTGACGCAGTGGTGTCGGCTCCCCCGCCGTACATGACCAAGGCTGTCTTCTTGATGTCATCCTCGGAATAGTCGTTCTTGGTCCCGCAGTCGACAATACTGTCTTCTTTAAGAAGTGACGAGACGAATGAGTGTTCATGGGTTCCTTTGGACATCTTTTCCTGTACGAATAAGTAGGGGACGTCTTGTGTCGTCTGCAGAAGCCTTCTCCATTCTCGACCCTGCTTCTTAAAGGACGTTGCTGGAAGGCCTTCTGGAAGATGCTGCAGTATGGGCATGATATCCACAGCCCAAGCGAGCAGGACAGTTGCAAGTGCAAACACGTCCATCGTGCGCTCAATCAGATGAACCAAAGGGTCGGTTCCGCTATGCGAAATAGAATAGCCATAGGTTATCTTGAGAATGATGGCGCTCGCCTCACTATACGAATTCAGTTAGGGACAATCTAAAGCATAGTGATGGATATCGAGTCGGTGTCTCCGCGTCCATTCAGGCTATGTGAACTTACGTCTTGATGTGCTGCGCCAAGTTGGCTGGATCATCCAGAACTCGGAGAAGAAATCGATGTGACTCTGGCTCGATATTGTCCCGAAATCGTGCTGCCATTGCCTTCGTCCCAAATTGCTGGTGAACCAATTTGCGATGCCGTCGAAATGTTCCATCGTATTGTTGAAGATTGAGGAGCGATGCGAATCCGCACATGTCCGCAAACCGCATATAAGGACGACCCGAGGTCTTTGTCGAGGACTTGGTCAGCAAGTCGTGCGCAGCCTGACGATCGTGAAGAAGTACGATCCTCTGCCCCAAGATATGAATGGAACTGATGGGACCATAGATGTCTTTGAATTTGAGCCAATGCTTATACTCGGGAATGCCGGTCGGAGGCAGATCTCTGACATTTCCAAGGATAGGGAAAGGCTTAGGCCCAGGGGGGAGATTGTAGCTTCTCTTTCTGCAACTATAGAAGCAATAGAATAGAGCAGACACGATAATGGCGGCCGATATCATACTGTTCTTAGGATTCCGATACAATAAAGCAAAAAGATGATTTCAAGCGAGATGCGGTTGTGTGGTACAGCCCAAGAATCCCCCAGTGACCGTGCTGCCTTATAATTGTCGCGTATTCACTCAGACTTTGGGCCTTTGGGCCTTTTACATCGACAGCACCGCTCTTTGGTGGACATGGCGGGGAATTTCGCATTCGTGGTGAAACCTACTGTGGTTATATGTGGAGCAAATCCACTTTATGACAACTTGTTAGAAACAGGGGTGGGTGACAAGAGAGGCAACTGTCATGGGATATTATAATTCTGCCCAGTGTTTTTTCAATGAGCAGTGAGAAGACAGCCATCCGACTGGAACTTTTGCTTCTTGGAACGTATGAATCCCCGGACCATGCATGGTTTATTCCCATCCCACCTGAACCAACCCTGTTCAAGTTGGATCTTGTACTTCCGAGTGTTTGGATGGTAGTACAACTATGACTTAGACTTTAGACCGTCATTATTTCCACTTATGGCAATTATTATCACTCCAAGGGTTATCATGGCCAGAACACAAATCCGCCGACGAATCTCTTTGCTCAGCTACTCGCTCTCATAAATTTCGGCCTGTTATTTTTTCACGTCTTTTCATCTCCAACTTTTCTGTATTTCAAGGTATTATCATATCATTGCAGGAAGTCTTCTAACTTCGACCCTCAGGCTGGGAC